AGCACGATTTTTCACTTCCCCGCATGCTCTTTGTCAAAATATATGCGAAAGTATGCTTCCCCGGCACACTCTGTGAAGCAGCTACAGTAACAGAAACACCCAGCAGACGCGTGCTTCACAGTGGGATGGGGCGAGCGACCAAACGAAATCTGTCCATGCACCGCCCTACCTGGAGATCTCAGCACCCGCCGACTATCTAAATCTGTCATTCAAAATATCGAAGACTCTGAAGACATCGGGGGCATATCTCACCGGCTGCCTCGATCGTTTCTGCTGAAAGTCTCGCTGTGTCTCAGAGTGATCGGCTGGTGCACTGTTGGCCGCATCAGTCCGACGTTGCTGTTGAGCCAACTTCCTGAAAAAAATAACCATAAAGCAAGCATTATTTGTCAAAAATGAAGAAAAAAAAAAATGATAGCCTGGCCTGGCAGATGGGTCGCTCTTTTTTAGCGCAGTAAAAGTCACAACGGAAGAAGATGGACCAGCTATGCGTGTGATGCTACTGCGAACTTAGATCTCTGCTCACAGCTCAAGAAAGGCTCGAAACAGACCTCGCGGCAACGTTTTCATTGTTGTTGCTGTTGTTAGTGCTGCTTCGAAGATGCGCTTGCTGGTAGTGGTGCACTTGAAAACGAGATGAAGCCTGAAATGAAGTAAGCTGAAGCTGCCTGTCTTGTATCCGGCAGCTTCCGAAGTCCAACTCGCATTTTGGCAATCACTCCTCGGGCCGCAGCCACAGAGCATCGGCGAGAACTTACAGGATTGCCTCGACATACCCGAACGCAGTGTTGCAAGGCCATCCTGCCCTGGACCAATTCGTTTCATTTTTATTTACTCTTCTTAAAGTGATTGCTTTCTACCGCGGATAAAAATCGCTGACGTACATGGGCGTCAGCATCCGTCCAAAGACAGCACGGAGTGGGCTAGCAGGTAGGGGAGCAGAAGTTACAGAAGGAGGAGATGAATCTGCGTTCATTCGAATACTGAGAATACAACCAGCACTTCTCGGGTCATTGAAGCCGGCATCTACAACTGACATGCCACGCAGCTGCGCAGTTAATTTCCTGAATTTCAAGGGCCAGTATGTCACAAATTCTAGCTACTGTGATTCCTTGCGACCTTGCTGCAGCACGAAATAGTGCAAAAACACGTGACTGCACCGGCTCGCCTGGTGCGTTCCAGCCTGGTTTCGTTTATGAGTAGCGCAAGTTCCAGAATATCTAACATACCAGCTGACGCCCAAAACCATTCGCTTGCGTGTGGCTCGCATAAACACTGTGCTGGTTGGAGGCCGAATACCACTGCGTACTGCCGGTCACATTGTGCGCAAACTGTAAAGTACTGATTGATACAGAGCATATCATGCATTGAAAAAAAAAGCCAACCGAATATCTTCTAGGACACAAAAATGAGCATGTGTGTGTGTGTGTGTGTGTGTGTGTG